GAGATCCCTATTAGAGATGCCGTAATAACCTATCCAACAAATTGCTTTGTGGTGGTGGAGATCAACCTGAATTTACCGCGTCAAACGCTGTACTGCTTTATGCAGTATGCACCAAATCTGTGGGTCTAGTTCTTACAGCACACCCAAATCACGGGCCATGTGTTTACGTGATCATGATTGGTCGATCCCTGATTCATAACCTATATCGACGAGGTCACTCAGTTTTTCCCGGCGAGTCAAACACCAACAAACCCTTTTCCACGTGAGTCCACAGTAACTCCGCACAAATCGAGGCCAGTTTTCTCTAAAAAGTAACTAGTATACTGCCAACCAACAAGAAATTGAATCAAGTGATAAGTGACTTGTTCCAGTTTAAGCAAGGTCTTGAGTTTGAGTCTTTGCGTACGCAGCAACTTTCGTTGGGAGATTCACCCACCATTTCTAGTTGCGCGACCCGAGTCTAGTCCGGATTAGTTGGGGGAAGTCCCAGATACTGGACGGGAAATCGAAAAAACTAGTATACTGCCAAGTCATTGAAGTGTGCCCCTTTTCTTACGCAAAAAAATCAATTCAGGATTTCAACTTTCTCACTTTTCCTATTTAAGAACTTCAGTTCTTATTTTCTGGTACCAGAATCCTATGTGTTTTTACATTTTTTTTTTTTTTTTGCTACAAGATGAAAAATGGGTGGGAAAATGTCAATCCACAGTTAATAGACCCCATTAGTTGCTTACATGGCAATTATTTAAGTGAAAAATGATTGAAAAATATTTTTTTATTTTATTAAGACTTGTGAAAAATATATATATTATTTTATTTAATAACATACCCAAAATTATAAAATAAAATTATACGGCATAAAAAGTATTTTTATGTATAACTGTTATTTATGTAAACTTTTCCATTTAGTCAAAAGTGACCCCACATCTTGTCCAAACAAAAAAAAGAGCCCCACACCCACATTAACGTTAGGGGACCGTATGGGAAAAACATGACTCTTAACAGAGAAAATTAAAGATGAAATCCCCAGTTAGGAAATAGACGAAAGTTGAAGTCCTGAATCTCCTCACGCGTTATTTTTTTTTCCCCCTTTTCCACGTCCTTTATTGGAAGTTGTTAATACGACGC